GTTCCTTTAACTACCTCCATATTCATATCATCACTTTATTTTCTATAATTGTAAGCCCCCTATGGTCTAAAACCATACCCCTCTGATGCACAATCATTATGACTACGTTTCCCAAAACTCCCTCAACGTCCGATAACCACGCCCCTTTTCCCGAGCAGCTTGGTGTGCTCTAACAATTTACTACATTTCCCACAAATCCAGCCGAAAATCACATTTTAACTAGATATCCCATACTTCTCAGCGGCACATCCCGATCTCCAATATGGCCGCCAATCACGTGATGTAATTCAACATCAATTTTAACACTGTTAAAACCCATTTTTTATGTAAAAAATTTACCACAAGTCCTACATAATCTACACTATCTTTATATATAACCCCCTTTATAATTTGAATATGTTAAATTTCGAGCTGTGATGTAATTTGGGCACCAAAAGTTGAAATTGTGTTACTAATAGTCCCCTATATATATACTACCCTACCAGGCATGTTTTTTTATCTCCACTTGAAAAAAACCGTATAGGTGAAAAGCATGGGGATATTTTATTATTGTGTTGAATAAAGGTATTTTGGATACTTTTAAACTATTTGATTGTGCCATTTTACTTTTTTATTATTTTGTACTTTTATTACCACTGCCTGGTATCCAGATTTTACTATTCCAGTTGAGTATTTACTCCAAAGAAATCCTAGGTGGGGATTATACCACTCACGCCTGATTCGTTGAGCAGTCCGCCCAATCAAATGTGAGTAAACATCTTGTTATTAAGTGTTCTTGCATAGCAAGACAACTTAATGTTATCTCACATATATATTATTCTTATTCTTATTTTTCTTTTGTAAATATGTGTTTATTTTTGAAGTTTTGCTGTAGCATATACAATCAAACATGCAGTAGTGAGTCGGGAGACATGCAGGTCTCATGTACAGTAACATTTAGTTTAATATTTGACATTTACACAGTATTCCTTGAGACTTGTAGGCTTTATTATCCTCATGTGTCTAGAAATTTCTTATTCTTATTATAGCCAAATTTACCACCCTAACTCTTCCTTTTTACACTACATAGACAGAAATATACCGAAACGTGCGGATTGTTCCCGATTGGATTGCTATTAGTTTGTGGAACGTTTCGCCGAATGGTTCACGGAATTACGTAGTTCTTGTGGCGAAATTGGTCCCATAGGAATGAATGGCAAAATGTTCAAAACTAGAGTGGGAGCTGGCAAAAGCTGAAAAATGAGGACATGTTTCTAAACTGCCACCACTCTCTTATTTTCAGGCCCACCTACACAAATCTTATATCAAAACGTTCAGCTATCCCTGCTGCCACTAAAAATGTCCACGGCTAAGCCATAGTCCTGATAGTTTTCACAATATGACCATTTGTTTGCAACTCACGCCATCCATTGACATTCATTGAAACTCCACTCTAGCCAGCTCAAATTTGAAGGGCAATTTCTAAACTGCGACTGTTCACTTTTTTTATATTTCAGAGACATATAGTTTTTAAAATACGACAGTTTGAAGATGGCAACCTCCAAAATACTCTGACCTGTGCCAGGCTGCAGCAGCAAGTGATATCATAGACAGGGCCTTTTGTACACCTGCTAATGTTTTTATAAATGTATGTTTTAATGTAACTGTGAAGCACTTTGGGCAACAACGTTGCAATTAAATGTGCTATATAAATAAATAATAACAGTTACTCCGCCCACTCCAGTTGTAGATTACTGGTGGAGGCAAGAACACTTCACACAATTTCCCCAGAAATTGTAACTATTCTAGTTTATAATCCTATTTTTCTTTTTTTAAATATTATATTTTTGCAGTGCAATCAGATTTTACAGTCAGGCCTGAGGTACCCCAAAGGCAATCCTCAGTCTTAGCATAGTATACGATAAGGCTTGCACAATTTTTATATTATGAAATGTACCAGTGTAGGAAAAGTAGTCAGCGGAGAGACAAAGCGGTATAACATAAGTATCTGGCTATACTGACCGACTGTACAAGGGTGTAAACAAGCGTAAACTCTTTAGTACTTGCTAGACTGCTTGGTGATGTTTCAGTATAACTAGGAAGCGTGTTAAGTATGTATAACAAGGGAATCATGCATAGGTAAGTATGTCATCATGTGAAGAACGTGGAACAAGGGGTAACAGGCTATGCTGACTGACTAGTCTCTTAGTGATATACAATTACGTTCTTAGGTAGGTAGCATGTAACTCGCTGGTGCTGTCTGCTTGCAACTATATAAAAAAACGAATTTATGCTGAACTGCTGCTTCGAGCCTACAAACAGGATTTATGATTAAACATTCAGAATTGTGGTATCATCGATATCTGAGACCATGTTTAATGGGTGAGGAATTCTGCCAACTGTGCATAGAGTGCTACCTAGCACCAGAATTTAGCTCATAGGTAAGGTAACATCTGGGCAAATACAAAGTTCTCATGGTGTGGGCTACGGCTGGAAGCAGTTTGGTTAGACAGTCCACATGCCCTAGCCGATGACTTTTCTGGAGGCCTTGGTTGCTGGTCTGGAGCGGAGTTCTGTTCCCAGGGGGCTCACCCGTGACAAGTCTGGGCTGGGGTTGCACTTGTTCTCCTGCTTTCCCCGGGCCTTGCTGAGGGCCTGCATCTGGGGTCTCACCTCTGTGTCCAAGTACTTCCCTCTGGGAGGGGACAGAAGCCCTGGGTAGTCGGTCATCTCTTGTGGGGTCTTTGCTTCTGCCTCTTTGGGGGATGCTTAGGGAGGGAATCCCTTTTGGCTCTCTGCCCAGGTGAGCTAGGCCTGTGTGGTCTGGTTACTTGGTAGGAGGTTGTGCCCGATGGGGCCTCCTGCACCCCATCTCCTGCTTGCCTCCATTTGCTCCTCTGTCCCCCTGCTGCCTCAGGTGCCCGCACCTCCAACTGCTCCCAGAACTGGGCAAATACCTTATCTAGGTGCTGCAGCATACAATCCAGCGCGGTGCATCTGTTGCGTTCGGCCGACTTTTGCCGCATGTCGCTTGGAGATGGCGCGTCCGCCACTTTGATTAGGAGTGCCGGGTCTCGATTTTGTGCGAGAAGTATTGCCCGCAGTCAGCAAGGTATGTAGAGCTGCTTTATGCAGACCGGGATGACTCCCAACGGTCCCGGGTGGCGGGGAGAGCTGGCTTCACAGGGTTTTTCTTAAGAGCCTGGAGAGCGGCCACCTCTCCGTGACTCGGTCTCGTGTAGGCTGCAAGCCTCGGTGTGTCAGCCCAGCTGCGTAAAAGCTTGTGAGTGGTACCGTCAGAAGCAGCCATCCTGGGGTTCATGAGTGCCTATTGTCGGGTATAACCTTCTTATTTTTGTCCCCAGATGTGGGACCTCAAGCTGGACATGTCTGGGCTGCTTTGCTCCGCCCCCTCCTACTTTTATTTTATACAGTGAGCACTATTTGTTGTCTCTTTTTTTAACCCTTTTATGGTCTACACACTGCTGTGATATTTACATCTCTTCACGTATCCTACAAGTGAGGATTGTACCGCTGTATGCCATTCATACTAGAGCGGGTTTAAGCTCTACTACATGTGAGTAGGACCACATCAGATCCTATACATACATATATATATATATATATATATATATATATATATATATATATATACTGATTTTTGTAGGATTTATTGCACTATTATCCTTTTTCTGTTTCCACATACGGATCCCGAAAAGTTGTTCCCATCCGACCAGTGGTGTATTTAGGATTTGTGCTGACAGACGCACGCACTCACTGACTGACACATACACACTGACCGACCCACACATTCACTGACAGACACACACTCACTCAAATTCACGGACACACACTCACTCACATTCACTGACATACTCACATTCACTGACACACACACACTCACATTCGCTGACACAGGTGACTAAACTATTTTGCATGTGTGTGTGTGTTTGTTTATGTGTGTCTCTGTATGTGTGTTTGTGTGTGTGTCTCTGTATATATGTATGTATATGTGTCTCTGTGTGTGTGTGTTTGTATGTGTGTCTCTGTGTTTGTGTATGCCTGTGTGTGTCTCTGTGTGTGTGTCTCTGTATGTGTTTGTGTGTATGCATCTGTATCTGTTTTTCTCCATATCTGTATGTCAGTGCGTGCCCTGTGTATCTGTATTTCTGTCAGTGTTTGTATCTATAGTAGTGTCATTCTGTATATCTCAAAGTGTGTAATTATGTGTGTCTCTGTATCAGCATGTGTGTCTGTGTGTATACATGTGTCTGCATTTGCATGTGTGTATGTGTGTGTGTATCAGCATGTGTGTCCGTGTATGTATCTGTATGTGTTATATGGTGGGTATCTGCATGTATGTCAGTGTGTGTTTGTATGAATGAGACACATTGAGGGGCGTAGGTGGGGGGTAGTGAGATATATTTTCACACCGGGGCCCTGTGGTTTCTAGTTATGCAGAAGTTATGTTACAAGCAGAAGATTTCATGGCAACACTGGATCTAAAAGATGCCAGGATCTATATTCCTATGGCCCAGGCCATCATACATTTTCAGTTTGTGGCTCTGCCCTTCGGCCTCACTACCGCACCAAGGATTTTCACAAAGATCCTAAGGGAATCTTTATTGGTCCATATCTAGTCAAGTTATCAAGTTATTACCTGCCTTTAACCCCTTAAAGGACCACTCTAGGCACCCAGACCACTTCAGCTTAATGAAGTGGTCTGGGTGCCAGGTCCTTCTAGGGTTAACCCATTTTTTCATAATTATAGCAGTTTCAGAGAAACTGCTATAATTATGAATGGGTTAAGCCTTCCTCCTAATCCTCTAGTGGCTGTCTCATTGACAGCCACTAGAGGCGCTTGCGTGCTTCTCACTGTGATTTTCACAGTGAGAGCACGCCAGCGTCCATAGGAAAGCATTGCAAATGCTTTCCTATGCGACCGGCTGAATGCGCGCGCAGCTCTTGCCGCGCGTGCGCATTCAGCCGGCGGGGCGTAACGGAGGCGGAGAGGAGGAGGAGAGCTCTCCGCCCAGCGCTGGAAAAAGGTAAGTTTTTACCCCTTTCCCCTTCCAGAGCCGGGCGGGAGGGGGTCCCTGAGGGTGGGGGCACCCTCAGGGCACTATAGTGCCAGGAAAACGAGTATGTTTTCCTGGCACTATAGTGGTCCTTTAAGGACCAAACATCTGGAATAAAAGGGAATCATGACATGTCACACATGTCATGTGTCCTTAAGGGGTTAAAAGAACCCTCTTTGTTCTATCAGACAGGAAATGAGTCTGTTGAATTTGCTCACTTCCACTTTTCCAGAAGTAAAGTCTTCAAAAGCTCACATCAGGCCTCTCAAGGTCCAGATCTAGATACAGAGTTTTGTCTATGAGTACATCCCTCAGAAGACCTAAATTGGTAGAAAAAGTTAACATTCACTCATCGAGGCCTGTCTTTCGCACAAACAGTCTGGGTAAGAATGACTTCAGACACCTCTTGAACTGGATGCGGTTTAAACATGAGTTCCTTAATGGCTTGAGGAAGTTGGTCTGCAAAAGGTATCCGAAAATCATCCTACTTCTAAGAAATGAAAGGTATCTGGAAACAACGCCTATATTTCCATAAACACATAAATAAACGAGCCTTGCAAATTCAATCAGACAACCTCACTACTGTAATTTACTAACAAGAAGATTAATGTATTTTCATTTTCAAATGGGCCGAAAGGTACCTCTCAGCTATTTCAGGTGTACACATAAAAGGTACAGAAGATCAACTAGCAGTCGATCTGCTCTAAAAATATACTTGCGTATATGGATTCGATTTCTGGAATGTTATTGTCTGCAAAACATTGACTCCTTCGATCCTCCTGTTTCAGTAATCTTAGAATTTTAGAATTTCTTCAGGAAAGTTTCAAATTGGATCCTTCTCCGTTCTCTCTGAAAGTTCAAATCTTTGCCTTTAGTTTGTGCAATTACGAGCAATGTCCACTCCTGAGGATATCTACAAGGCTGCCGCCTGGTCCTCTTAGCATAGTTTCATCAAACGGTACAGGCTAGAAATCACGGCCTCAGCGGAAGTGTCTTTTGGGTGTGTGGTGTTGCAAGCAGCTGTATCCTGATTTCCACCCTTCAGGGAGTTTTCTTGCTATCTTGCTGCCGCTGTACGCAGGGAAAAAAAGAAGACTTTACTTACTGTAAATAATTTTTTCTATAGAATCAGGGACAGTACAAATATACCCTCCCTTCTTGAATATATCTTTCTATTTTTGCAGGATTTTTGGTAGTGGTGTATTCTTTTGTATGACTGATGTGGCAAAGGTATTTATACCTTAAGGGGGTGGAATCTCTGTTTTAATTTTTTTTTAGGAGGCTACTTGTCCCCATTGATCTTGAATATCTCTAATGTACATGCCACGTTTACTAAGGAAAAAAGGATTTGCGGTAAGTAAAATGTCTGTTTTTTGGCTACTATTACAATAAACCATTGAAACCTATCAGTTCCTTCCCGTTCTATCCAGGGCCGGATTAAGAGCACAGTGGGCCTGGTGCTGACAATTATGATGGGCCTAATTACGGAATCTTATTGACCAAAAACACTAAAACATACCTCCCAAGCGTCATGTATCTGATGGAGATGGTGCTGGAGGGAAACTCATAGGATGCAGCTATAAGAAAACACATACTCTATGCTAATCCCTCTCTAATTTATGATTTCATCTTTCAAGTAAATCCATAACCCTTAACAGCAGTGTCCAGTGAAGCAGGAAGTCAATGGGCGGTGTAAAAGGGTGTGCCACTGGCACAAATCACGTGAAAAGACCTGCCAAAAGGGGTGAACATGCCCAAAAAGGGGAATGTTTGTCCAAAGAATTGGAAGGTCAGCCTGGCATGAATGCATGTCAGGCTGCCTGCCAATCCTGCAGGCTGTCCAACTAAGGGCATACTATGCAGGCAGCACCTTGAGCTTAACATAAATGTGTCTAATGATGCGCTCATTCCATTCTTTCAAAGGACTGTCCCATAGCATTCGCTGGTCCACTTGTCTCCTTACCTTCTTACTAGCAGGCAGAAGTTCCTGGTATATAGTCTGAGACAGAGAAAAGATGTCTGTAGTGAGTGTAGAAGAAAGGGGACATGCCACAGTGTTAGAGAGACCAACATCTGCATTACCTAAACTAACTTTAATGTCAGCAAGTGCACACAAGTTTTGTTCCAATACATCCCTCTTAAGCTTCCAAACTTAAAGGGACACTATAGTCACCAGAACAACTACAGCTTATTGTATTTGTTCTGGTAAGTAGAATCATTTCATTCAGGCTTTTTGCAGTAAAAACTGTATTTTCAGAGAAAATAACTCCACTGGCTGCTCCTTAGATGGCTGCTAGAGGTGCTCCCTGGGGCAGTACTGCCTAGTGTGCAGCACTGCCATTCAGTGTCTCCACCCTCTGCATGTAGACACTGAACTTTCCTCATAGAGATGCATTGATTCAATTTATCTTTATGAGGAGATACTGATTGGCCAGGGCTATGTTGGACTTGTGCTGGCTCTGCCCCTGATCTGCCTAGTTGACAGTCTCAGCCAGTCCTATGGGGAAGTATTGTAATTTGCTCAGACCACCACTTCCGAGCCAGCAGCTGCAGAATTTAATACAAGTAATATTTTACTATATTTAGGGAGGCAAGAAGGGGCCAGGGTGGTGGTTTTAACATAATAGGGTCAGAAATACATGATTGTGTTCCTGACCCTATAGTGCTTCTTTAAGCAAGAGTATGTGAAGAGTAGTTAAGGTTGCCACCTTTCTTGGAAAAAAATACCAGCCTTAATAATTTGTATAATTAGTTATGCGTGACATCACATGATGTAAATTACAAGGAGTGACATCAGAGAAAATTCTATAAAATCATCAAACTACTCACAGTTTGATTCTGCTGTATAGATGGATTGCTCCCAGTGTCTCCCTGTCTCCCAGTGTCTCAGTCTCGCAAGTCACCCAGTGTCTCAGTGTCCCTATGTATCACAGTGTCAGTGTCCCTGT